TTACAATTATAAGACTATATATAAAATAATTAAATGCAGTGAATGGATATGAAATATTTGAATTGTGCACATGTTTATTTCAAAGTGTTAGCTTTTCTCATAACTTAAGTCTCATTTCAAGTCGTATGAGGTTTGTTTTGTTATCGTTCAGTTTATATTTAGTATTGGTTTATTGGTCTGAATTAAATGGGAACAGTGCAGTCAGTCACTCAGTCACTACTAGTCGGTGTGTATAGAGGGTAGAGTGGTAGATTTATAGGACACAAGACTAGTAGATCTATTGATAGTGCTGTGCACTGTGCTATCAGCTACCTATCTGTTACGTGACTCTTCAATGTTTAGAAGATCTGCATTCCTGAAGTTGTTTCGTATATTGAAACCAGTTAAATGGTCAATATTTAGCTCATTACCTTGCTCCATACAAACTTTACAAAGCTAATGAATAGACTCCTCAATAATTGTTTACCCAAAAATCCCTAAGTGGTGAACACCACCTTGGCATGTTGGCCATTATTGAAGGCAATAAGTGCCCTTTTTAGCCATCCATTATGATCCATATACTGTTATTGTTAGTAGGCTAATTGCAACATAAATAATAACACCTCAAAAATACAAAAAAGCAGAAAAAATAATAAAAATTAAATAAATCAAAAAAATCATGGAAAAATAAAAAAAATCATTGATTTTTTATTTTTATTGATTTTTTTTTTAAAAAATCAAAAAAAATTGCCAACCCTGTCCCTATTATCCTACAATTACGGAAGCTATCTACCAACCAATTCAATAGACTATTGAATTTGTCGGTAATTGTGTAAAAAATATAATAATTGAAATCGACGCAAATACGTATGATAATTAAAGTAATGAATTAGAACCATCTGGAACTCAATTGTTCAAATTTATTGCCGAACATTTCCTTTCTTTACCTTATTACCTTAACGAACAATTTTGATGATGATTTTTTTTCAGCTGTGGAGCCCAGCATGAAGAAGGTGGTCCGACGATGATCAATGGAAGGTCCTGCATCATCACATCGTGATATGTTGCCGTCTGATGAATACAATATACACAATGGAGTAGTCAATATTAATTATACTTTTTTCAAAGGATTTCTGAATTAATTTTCATTTTCAAACAAATGTACTAAATCAGTTTTGACATGTATCGCTCCACTCACGAGCACTAAGACAAATTGGTGGGTCTGGATGACCCACTTTGATGAGTCAACTATGTCTGAATGTCGATCCACCCATTAAATTTCAGGTATGACTCTCTTGTGGCATCAAATTGCCTTTGAAGCCACCCATGGCAGGGATAACTAGGGAGCGTCTGGGCGTCAGAGCGACCTATCGCCACATGCGAGTCATACCTGAAATTTAAAGGGCCTGAAATAGGTCAGTATTATCCACAAATGGGGCAAGTGAGTCGAAAAAGTGCATCGCTATTCAGAAGCGGTTCACTCATCAAAGTGGGTCATCCAGACCACCCATTTCTCTCAGTGAAGCATTCACTTTTACACAGTAATTGTAGGTGTGTTATGAAAGGTTTTGTAAATGATTTAAAGATAAATAATGGCATCTAACCTGCCATTTTTGGAACTGCAAGTTTACCGCTTGATGAAATAACTCCAATCTAATTGTTAACATTTAACCCTTTACGCCCTGAATTTCTGGGACAAAAATCGTAAAATTCGCTTTTTCGGTTTTAAGTCTCTCTTCGGAGATGATATTCTGACCTATCCAATGGTACCAAAATCATCTCTGTACATTGATTTATGCCTTGATGACAGTTCGTGAAAGTGTTAGGGGTGGGGGAGTTCTTTCACATTTAATATAGGCCAAAATTACTGGTTGGGCACATAAATATGCAACCTGAAGACGCTGATCTTTAGTTACCTGGCTGCTGTCGTGTGGGATGGTGCTCATGCAGTCGTTCCCACTATCCTTGACTGAATTTTGGCTCCAGTAATGTCTAGTCTTGCATCCATGTCACCTTGAATGCCTATTTCGAGGCGCTCGGGACTTTGTCGCGCTCTACTGAACATTCACACTTATTGTCACTGCAAACCTATTTCCTCCCAGAGTTTTTAAGCTACAGCAATGAGTAATAGACTGTTCGATTTGCAAATAAAAGATCTAGAGATTGGTCTAAGCTTTTTTTCAATTTCGTTGAAGTTTTGAAAAAAGGGGAGGGGAAATTCGAAAGGGTGGGGGGATAAATAATTTTTTTTTTGAAAAATGCCCACCCCACCCACAAAAATTAGAATTTCAAAAAACAGCAAGGACCAATCGATAGATATGGTCCTTACGCATCGAATGATATGCGTCTCGATGTTGTAGCTTGAAAATCATAGGAGGAGATGGATTTCTACAGTACCCCCTTTTTGGCAGTTTTCTAAGAATTTCACGTTTTCTTTCACTTTTTTCGAAAAATTCCTACGAACAAAAAAGTCTTAGATTTATCTTTTACATATGTGTACCAAGTTTCAAAGTTATCTGTTGGTAAATAACCGAAATAGAATTTCCATAAAAAATTGGACATTGCAATTGGAAATTTGAAATTATATTTCGGTTATTTACTGACAGATAACTTTGAAACTTTTTTTATTCATGTGAATTTTTCAAAAAAATGACAGAAAACATAAAATTGTTGGAAAAGTTAGCTAGTCCCTGGTGTGACAAATTCGTCACGCCGGGGCGTAAAGGGTTAACAAAAGTGCTTGCTATTTAATTTAACATGCAAACGGATGTCATGTCAACCGGAACTCGGAACACCACAGCAGAGAGTATTTTATGCAGCTAATGAATTTTGCAAACCTTGCTGGAAGAGAGATTATTACATTTTAGAAAAAAGGCGGGATAATTCAATGAAGGGTGGTGGCAGAACTGCAATCTTGATACACTATTGTGATTCGTGCTATGATAACCTACGTACCGTAAAATGGGGTAACTTAGACCACTTTTTTTCTTATAAATGATGTCATTTTCTTACTACCTAAATTAAACTTGAATTTAAACATGCAAAATACATGTCTATACTCTAGCTTCACTCACCATAAATTGCTGGCTCCTGCCTCTCATAGTCTTTATGTAATTTCAAAAAAAGTGATGGTCTTTGTTACCCCCAGCTCTTGGGGTAACTTAGACCGGGTGGTAAAATCAATTATTTTTTTTGGTAAAATAACTCCAAATAATAGCTTTTTTTTGTGGGTCACATTTTTAATTTTTTAACCTATCAGATATGCAAACTTTTTAAATCTTTCTATTGTGTTATGTAGCCTCAGTATTAGGCCTTTAATGCCCATTGACAAAATTTTTCTATGTCAAATAGTTTTTGAGTTGTGGGGGTTTTTGTAAAAAAAACGAAAAGTGGTCTAAGTTACCCCGCCGGTCTAAGTTACCCCATTTTACGGTAACAATTTTCATATGATAGTTATAATTTTTGCACGTTCAAAGTACACATGACATAACATAACGCAACCAGATTTGGAAACCATAATTGCTCAAATGAAGCAAAAATAAACGACAGACCATTGACTTATCTTGCAAATATATATATATTCATATTTTGTATCGCATAGTATAATTACGCTCTGTAATTATGCCATATTGTCCTAATTTGTAAAGTCCATTTACGCGCATTGTTATTAGGTATTGATCGTGTCAATTTTGCCGGCTGGGAGGATGTCGGGAATGTAGTCCCAACATTGGCATGCAGGTTCGTACTGTTGATGTACAGGTTCATACCCTACTTGCTGCAACCAGTCCAGACTCCAGTCATTCATTAGTAGGCACCAATGGCACATCTAAAGCCATGTTGCCTTCTTTAGTTTTGTAATTCATGTCCAATTGAATTGTGATCCATGAATGAATATTCATAGCTGTGCTGACTCTTAGAACCTGAGTCCTGAGTTGATGCGTTAGCAATCTAGTTAACTCATATCCAACCACAACACAATGCGGATACACGTTTGTGTGTACGGTCAGTGTGATTGTGTAATTTGCATTGCCACGCGTCCATATTTATACTATTTTAGCTCTCTAAAGTACGGCGCACGGCGCATTTTTTTACCGGCATAGTACGGCGCACCGCGCAGGTCGTTGAAATGACAAAATATATTCCCGCGCACCTAGCACATCTTCCTGACCATGGCCTACTTAGAAGAATTTGAACGCAATACAAGCTCTCAGGCCCAACGACCGTCCTCAAGGTCGACGTGTGGCTTTAAGTCTACCCAGTGTAGACACCCCGAAAAGAAGAAGAAGAAGCAGCCATGCACCACCAATTTTGTGCACCAATAAGCCCTGAATGGAATGCCTTGGATATCTTTGGACATCCACCAATCCATTACTTACATCCAGGGCAGTGGTGGGCTTAGGCAGGCGACCCGACATACGGTGCAACCTGCAATGGTCATTTAGCGCTCTGTTTCACTGTTTGAGGTTGTGGGCAAAGATTCCGGTTCGAGCTGCAGTCGACGACGGTCGTAAGTAAGTTCCTAAGCCTACATCTTTAATTTCAATTTTGAAACTCGAGATAACTGTTCTTGAACTCTAAGAATTAATCAATAGCGCGACATTGTTAACTTCGAGAATGTCGCGCCATAAGAGGTGGAAGGAGAGTAGCCTGTCTTCAGATGAAGGCAGCAGCTCTCCTTCTTTGCCTGAACAAGTTGAGTCACCTTTGCCAGTGGGAGTCTTACTGGAAGATAAATCAAAAGATCATGTTTGTGTCCCAGAAGCACCTGACTCAGTCAGACTCACCATCATTAGTTCCACCTTTGGAGATTCCTGACTCAGCTTTGGTGAGATCAGTTGCTGCTGCCTGCTGGCAGAGGGATGGGGCTTTCCACAGTTCCCAGGAACAGTAACTTTGAGGGTTTTTGTAATAATAACGATGACATAGGTGAAATCACTCTTGGCAAATCAATGATTTGTCCATATTCATTTCCTCACTTAAATTTATGAGTAAACTTTTGGTAACCATTTTATAACTATCCACTCAATGTATGTGTGACTATTTCCACAGAAAGGTATCAATAATGAGCCTCCTTGCCAGGCAACATTGTAACCTATTACAAAATAAGGCCCTTTCCAAATTAATCTGTTTTTTCCATGGTTCTCGGTGTTTTTCCCAAGAAAATGTACATAGAAACAAAAAATCTTGTACTCAAACAACTAGAAAAGATAACGTCCCTAAATCAACAAAATATCAACAGACATTATTTCTGCCTTCCAAGGTTTCCACTAAGTTGCCATTGAAGGTCGAGGACATCTTAGAACATGTACTTCAAATACAGAAGGTATGCCCCTAATATATTTTGACATAGGTATTGTGTCTTTGACTAAAAATATATCAATAAAATATGTTTACTGAACTGTAGGGTAAAAATAAATTTGGTAACTTTAGTAAACTTCTTTATTTATAATTAACAATTCTTCATTGAACATCTGTTAATTCTTTAAAATTGTTAATGGCAATTTATTAGAGTTTTTGATATTTTTAGTATTTTCATAACTGTCATTTAATACTACTTCTTTCTGAATTTTTTGATATGCACAGGAGTTTGAGTGGAATAAACAGTATGAGAGGCAGTATATGCAGGCAGAGAGGAGAGCAGAATTTGTTCTCCATGACGGTCCTCCTTATGCTAATGGCAGCCTACATATTGGCCATGCTCTCAACAAGGTAACATCCTGATGAATGTATAATTTTATATTTCACTTAAATTAATTCTTATCTTTTGAAAATATGCTTTTTAAGTTTGCTTAAGTAATAAAATTTAATGAATTGATGGAGGTTCAAACTATCTAAGAAATAGTTTGAATTTAATTTTTTATGGGTTAATAGAGTAACTAGTACAAGATATTTTAACTTGTCAATACTTTTCATTCATACTTTCAATGGCCCAATAGCCCACAGGCCATTGAAAGTTGAGCTCTTAGTTATTTTCTATCAAGTTGAACTTGGAACATTAATTTCTCACCATTAGAATAAGTTATCATTAAAAAATATTGTCAAGGAGAAAGAAAAAAGTTATTTAAGTGGTAATTTAATGTGAAACTTAATTGTCAAATGATAATGTACCTATTTTCTCTAATTAAATTTATTTCATGCTATTGTAATGAAAATTATGTTCATTGACAGGTCTGTTTATTAGAAATTATCTTGGTATTTTCAATGTTTGAATGTAGTTACATTTTTGCACTCTACAATGAACACAATATTTCACACTATTAATAATCAACAGATTTTGAAAGACATAACAGTTCGCCAGAAAATGATAGAAGGATTCAAGGTGCATTACAAGCCTGGCTGGGACTGTCATGGCCTGCCCATTGAATTGCAAGCCATGAAAATGGGATCTTTACCAGGAGCTGGTGTGAAGAGCCTCTCACCTTTGGAGCTTCGTAAAATATGTACGTTGCATTATTCAAATTGAAGTGATCTTCTTTATTGCTTTGTTATGTTTCCATGATAGGTTTCCTATAGCAAAATTTGAGGAGTGTCTTGATCAGCAAGGGATATAGTATCCAAATTAATAGTTAGTAATAATGATTGAAATGGGTGAAAAAAATGTTTTTAACGCATTTTCTCATTTATGGAAAAAAGGCACTATTGTTTTACAGTTCATTCAGCTTGTAGGGTGTGCTTCTGCTTATTTTATCCTTTGATTTAATTCTGGATTTTGATGTTAATTTTTAATAATCAAAAACCCATAATTTATTGTGTGTTCAGTTCTAGAAGCAGGAGGTGGAAATAATTAGACATTAATAAATTTCTCTAAATTGATATATCTCTCATTAAATACTTGATTTCAACTTGATGCCAGATTAAAACTTGCTTTTTCATCAATATATAGGTACACATTGATCAGAAAATTGTGCATTGTGTTTTTTGATTTTGAACAAAGGTATTCGCTTGAAATTTAGATGAGCCTTCTTTATTTTACAGTAATACCTCATTTAGCAAAGACTTATTGACTAGCCAATATCTATAATAATCAAAATATCTATACCCTCTGGCAGTCATAATTCCATGAACGGGAACTAAATATCTCTGCCTTAAACAGCCCATCATGTTATTACTTAGTTTTTGTTTGCGGGCTTGTTGTTATGCCACTGCCAATCATCAATCATTGGATTATAATTCCATAAGCAGCATTGTCCTCAACTGTGCTTGAGGGTTAAAATGTGGATATTAAAAAAGGTTCTGGCTCCAAAGTTGATGGATGATCTTTCCATCTATTTTTTTAGTATGATATTTATTAGCTAAATATTTTTAAATTTACTTAATAATTAATTAATCAATTAGTTGTATTATATTGAATACAGTTGAGGTTAAATAGTTTTTCTCTTCATATTTGCATATCTAAATTCATGAAATATAAACTGCTTCAAATGTGATGACCACATTTAATTAATTTTTCAACTGTGATTTGCTTTTTCAATAAACATAATAATTTTGAAATGTCCAGGAGTAAATCTGTCTTGGGCTGGACCATCCATGCTTCTTATGGCTTCCTAATTCAAGTTTAGGCATATTTATCTGTCTGCCTACAAAGAGGTAGAATAAAGGATTAAATAGCTGAATGCGCTTGCATTTCATTTTCTTGATATAAGCACCTTTGAATTAAAAATGTTATGTATTGCTCCTTGGTTGGTTCATTTAGCTGTTTTTCTTGTCGACCAATATTTTTCATATTGGGCTTGTGTAAGTTAGACTCCAACTTAACAAACACCTACATGCTCAACCAACATCGAGTGGTGAAATGCTTTGTTAGAATGAAGTACGAGATAGACTACTCTATGAGATTACTGCTGTTATTATATATGTAAGACCGTAAGGGCAAATAGGTAAAAAATAGTGTTTGGAAAGTATCTTGATTGCACGCTATTATATTTCTGAATATTTTCTTTGCACATGAATAAAACCTTTTTTACAGGTTTGTTGCATTTTCATCTTGCTGCCATGAATTCATTCTTCTTGCAGCTCGCCAATTTGCCGAGTCTTGCGTTAAGGAGCAGAAGAAGACTTTTGAACTCTGGGGCGTTTTGGGTGACTGGAACAATGCTTACCTCACAGCCCAGCCCAGCTATGTTGCTTGGCAACTCAGGCTCTTTGACAGGCTCAAGAAGAAAGGCCTGATATTCCAGGTCCATAGAATACATGAGATGGATTTAGATCAATGAATGAAATTTTAGGTTTGGTATAATGCCCATTTTGATAGGCCTGACATATTACCAGGTTACATATTAAAATTACACTAAAGGTACCAAAAATGGCCATTAATGGGATAAAAAATGTTCTGTATATTTTGAAAACTTGAATTCTATTTTGTAAAGACAGGAAAAAATTGTTTTATGTTGATGAAATACATCTTATATATTTGAATACATTTGGAAAAAGCAACCTTCTGAAATACGTGAAGATACGTAATCACTGGTTTTAAGTAAATTTGTGTTCAAGGATCCTAATTTATTTTTTATCGGCATTTATCATCTGTTTTAAAGGAGAAAAATCTTTGTACCATGAATGTTACATTTTCTATTTTGTGAGTACACACAGTCAGATGCTCAACCCATTTTGCTCCTTACTTGTTATTGTGATTAGCATCTGCAAAAGGAAAACATATGGTTTACTCTTGAACCTTTTTAATTATAATCTAGATTAACCATGCTTATTTGTGCATAGAATACATAAAATAATGCTAATATTGACCAAGTTCTAGGCTAAGGCTAATGTGATTATAAGAACTTAAGAAGCAAGCAAAAGAATGTTTCAGTATTCTTCAGGCTCACATGCCGATATTCTACTCGCCCTCCTTGCGGACAACGTTGGCAGAGGCAGAGGTTGTATACAAGGATGATCACATCAGTCCAGACCTCACCCTAGCACTGCGCTGTGCTCGCTCTTCTACACGTCTTCAGGTATGAAAAAATGACTATTTAAGAATATTGATTCAGAAATTTTGGCCCTACTTTCCATGATTGAAGCATATTAGATAATACTTTCAGGATCTTCAATAATTAATGTCATCTTTTTCAAATTCATG